GTGGGGTTGAAGGTATACAGAAAACATTTGCTGCTGCTTCTGTCTTCTAACAGACTAACAATCCAGAGTTTCCCTTCTGCCAACAAGAATCCCAATCATCTCTCTGCTAAACTCTGACTGCAACTGTCTCTATAACTCAATGTGCTGCTCACAACTGACCATATGTGGCTTGACTCTACCTTCCAGCCGAGTGGCACTAAATCCCAAAAGTTTTTGTTTATTTGCTTTACTTCTCTCTGCTCGTACACAGTGCAACTACTCTGAAGTTCTCATTTCTAGATTTTACTGTCTATGCAGTTTTGTCAGATAAAATCATTTAAGGCCAATTTATTTGGGTGTATCCTAAGCAAATTCAAGCACAAATAAATCATTTGTATGTTCAATAAACAAAAGACTTTTTTTGTCAAGTTCTGTTTACTCCCTCTCCCTAGCATTAGGATGAAAAAAAAGAGTTCAATAAAACAATTATTTTGAAAATCATAACTGAAAACTTACACAAATATTTGTGTAAATATATATAACATTCAGCGTATATGCTAGCCCACAAAAACCTAAGACACCCACACATAGACATGAATATGATATGAGAACCAGTAATACAAAGAGCTTGAGAAAAACAACAATAATATAAATTGTAATATGAGCCCCGGTAAAAAAAAAAAAAAAAAAAAAAGGTTCCTGTGACATTAGGTTTATAAGTGCCAAAAATTCATTCACTGATGCCCCAAGGACACATGGCCCAGTGGATAAAAGGATTGGTTGAGTAATCCAAAACGTCACTTGACTCAAAGAGTTCAATACAAGAAAACTTACTAAAGGGAGTTAACTCTCACTGAGCTGTCCAAAAACGGATGCCATATGGAACTAGAACAATTTTCCCACCATAGACTAAATGAAGGGTTCAGTTTAAAATTTCAGTGTATATCACCTGAAGAAGATCATAGTGTACAATGGCCGAAACATTGTGAAAGATGAGAACAACAGTCTGAACGATGTAAATAGTGTAAATAGTTACAATTCTTCATCCCAAAAATATAAACAGATCCTGAAGAAGGCTGGAGCATACAACAACCAAAACATCAAGAATATGACAATAAAGAAGAGGACAATAGTCCAAATGATGTAAATAATGTAAATAGTTACAATTCTTTATCTCAGAAATATAGACATAACATTCTTAACTCAAGATAAGGCATGTTATTTTCAAAACCTCAAAAAAATAATAAATCCAAAGTTTAACTAAAAAAGGAAAAACATAAATATTGCTTAAAACTAATAATTTAATGTAATTGTAGCGGAAATAACATAAGAATTCATTATAAACCCTCCCCTCCCCATAAAAGTTCAGTCTCCTTTGAAAGGAGACCGTGAACATCAGGTGCTTTTTTCAATCAAATTTTATAGACTCTAGATGTTTGCAAATGTTCCCAACAATAGAAAACCTTTTATTTTTTTTTTTATTGCTTTGCTTTTTAATAAATACATTTGAAGATCTGATAGACAAATCTATATCAGACCAAATAGTGGGTAAATGAATGACAAAATAGAAAAAAAAAAAAAGATTGCTATGCATTTCAGCCTTCAGAGTTTTTCAAACCTATTCTGTCATTCAATTACCCAAGAAAAACATTATAAACTTTTGAACACCTCATATTACAAATTAGATAAAGACCATTTTCTTCCTTTAATGACATGCAATTGAAAAAAATAAACTAACTTAGAAAATAAAAATTTTTATTTCAAGTTATTTGAATACAAAAATGATTGATCTTTTAAAAAAAACATATATATATATATATATACAGATTTTCTGCTCTTCCAAGAATTTTTTATTCTCCCCACTCTCATTGAATTTTTCTAACAAATGCCTTAAAATTCATTCTTTCACCACAATATCTTTCATCCAATTCTTACTTATGAAAAGCTTATCTTCTGAAACAAAACCTTCTTTTGCATATTTTTTTTGTTTTTTAAATTCAGAATTCTGCAAAATTTAATTTTTGAAAAGTTGTTAGAATAAACGATTATAGAAATCATTCACATCTTATTTAAATTTGAATTTAAATCTTTATTTCTCTTTTACCTGCCATCAACATGGCTGGTTTTCAAGTGCAATCAGAATTGAAAAAATATATTTCATTTAACAATTTTTTTTTGTATTTTTAATTCTTTAAATTTTAACAATTATTACAAATATGTTTTTAGATGACCAGCTTATTATCCTAATACATTTATCATTAGCTATATTCATTTACAAGATTAGTTTTGTTAAATGGCACTAAAATCTTTTGGCACTAAAACATTTGGATAAAATTTGTGAAATTTTCACTATTTATAAGAATTTGAATTATGCCAAATAGAAATTCACATTTTAGACTTAGCATAAAAAAATTAAATCACTCTATTTATTTATTTATATATATATATATATATATATATATATATATATATATATATATATATATATATATATATATATATATTGTTAAATCAACAGACAATGAATGTCTATTATGTCTGATCATGAACCTTTCTAAAGTTTGTATTTAGGTGAAAATGAAAACAAAAACTGTCCAACATTTGGATATTTTTTTATTAAGATGGTCCTTGATCTAAGTTTTCAGCTCACATGAGCCATGTTCAGAGGGGTTAAAACAAAGATATCCAGTATCAAAGATGATATTTTGTTTTGTTGACAAAGGTTGCTATGCAACAATAATGGTCGCGGAATAGCAGACACAGGTCGTAAGTTCAAGATGCGGTTTTATGACATCATACCACATGAGAGACCAAATATTAACAACAGAACCATATGTCTAAATGCAATGTAATATGTTGCAACTAGTTTGTAATGTAATTTTGTTGAGTGTGGGTTGCTTTGTTTTAATGTAGATGGCCCCAAATATCTGAAGGCTCTTTTTATTACGTGTATGTTTAAGTATTATTGTGTTATCAACTAATATCTGTCTAATATGTACATGGCTATGTTTTTCTAAAATGTTACTTGATAGAGTTAAGATCAGAAAAGTGACAGGTGAGTCTACAGGAGAGTGTGGTTGTAGTAAAACCAATATATGTAGTGGGTTTATTATTAGTATCAGAGATACAATCTCTGAACAGGCACATAAATTGATACACTATATTAGTTTTTTGTAGAGGATTTAGTTGTGTGGTTGTAGGGTTATTAGAGACTATGAGGCCAATTTTCTAAATTTTTTATAATATATGATGAGCTTGTTTATTATTATTAATGGGTTTAACATTTGTACCTATTATGTTTTTTGAGTATTGTTTTATCATATATATATATATATATATATATATATATATATATATATATATATAATGTTAAGTTCAAATTGCAGCTGTCATTAATCTCCTTGGGAAAGGTATGAATCCACATTTTGTCAAATATCTTGTTGATGAGGGAGAACTTTAACAAACCACTCCCTCATCACTACCAAACCTGTTCAGTCAGTAGCAGCAAGGATCAAAACCTTGAACAATGATTCTAATTTTGACATAGGTGGTGGTTGTTGAAGATCTTCGAAATATTTTACAATTTGAGAATCTCTTTAATAAGGAAAACGCTACACTTACTTGATTTGAAAAAGGAAGACTGATTCATAAGAAAGAAACTATTACGAGTTAAAGTTAATTCAAACTTGTAAACCAAAAAATATGTTTTTTAAATTCATAAGAGGAAATTTTAAAAAAGAATTGGAAATTTATTTTAATTTTCTTATTTTAGCAGAAAAACAAATAGAAACAAACCAACGTTTAAAAACGAACCTTTTGTATTTAAAAACAAACCTTTTGTATTTTTACTACAATGCATAAATAACAAAAATAAAAAAAAAATAATCAAATTAATAACAAATGCTTCGTACCAAAAACCTGGACAATTTGCAACTTATCAAATCTTATTTATATATTGCCACACAATGAAAGTTTATTCACTAAATTTATGATGTTCAAACTTTAAAACCAAAATCAGATTACCTGACACCACCCCCTTGTCGTTCAGATTTTTATTTCTTTAAGGAGATGGAGATTAGCAGATCGAAAGTCATTTACAATATTAACAAACATGTCTAGAATTATAGATAGCTGTGTTTTATTTTGTTATAGTGGAACACACCTATTCTATAGTTAATAGACTCTCCCACCTAAAAGATAAGTAGGTGTAGTAAGAGTAACAAGAGAGTCGCTCAGTGATTCAGTGAGTCAGTCAATGTCGGACGACAGTTAGTCGAATACTAAAGTATCAGCGACCACAACTAGATTACTCTGCGTTATACCTATTATATCAAGTTCCTAACGTTTTGTACGTCAAACCTATTTTAGGACCGACAGTACAAAATACAAGCCTCCACTGTGAAATCACTCCATAACATATTTACACTTTGATCTCACTCAATATCAGTTTCAACTAAGTTAGTAGCCTTATGACAAACAACGTTCCAGCAATAGCTGATCATTTTATCTCATAATGGTTTAAAATCATTTTATAGAGAAGTCAAAACTGACAAGGTACTTTTAATAAAGGTCAGCTTTTCATTTCCTACATCAGAATAATTCAGACAATAATTACTAAAATATTTAATCTTTTGTTTTTTGAGATGGGAAAGTATTTTATTTTTGTTTTTTTAATCATTTAAGATAAATAGTCTGTAGTTTTATGAATTCTGATTTTAACCAAGAAACATTTTTTATAAACATTCATTTATCCACCAGTGACAGCAAGAAAACCTGAATTAAAACAATATGCTTATAAAATCTATATCACTGAACATTAGTATTCCCCATATTAAATGTTAATTCAAACAATCATTTGAAATGATTTTTTGAGAAAATTAAGGGAAAAAATTCTGTAAATCCTTAATGAATCTTTACACCAATAAAATTTTTTAAAAAATTTTTTAAATTTAAAAAGTAGATGAAATCCTTAATTTTAAAAAAATGGGAGGGGTGATTTTATCTTGTTTCTCTTCTTTTCACTAAAAGAAAGGTTTTGTCCGCACAAAATCAAAATCATATATTTCTGGCAAGCCAATATGACTGTCTTTAAATTTTCCACTCCACGCAAAAGGATTGAGATTTGTACCTAATGTCGGTCCACTGATGATGTCTGCTGTCATACTTTTGGCGAGGAAAAAATCAGTAACCTGATAAACAAAAAAAATATATAAATAAATAAAATGAAAAAGTAGAACAATGATTTAAAATAATAAATATTATAAAGAAATAGATTTGTTTTAATATATGAAGACAATGTTCGCATGGGTTGGAAACTGCTATATATTAATTGAATCTCTGAAAAAAAAGCTTCATGTCCAAAGAGATTTATATGTTTATAATTGCAGCAATAACTCAAACTATTTTTACTACTTCGAGTTATTGCCACAATTATCTTTTAATGTGGATTAAGAATTTTTAACCCAGAAATATTTTAAGTAGGTACCCTTAAAGATTAACTAAAAAATGAGAATACATGATGAAAAAATGCCTCAAACTTAATAAAAACAAAAGATTTATCACCAAAATCTTTGTTATTATTATGAGGAAAGACCAAAGGATTTTTGGATTATTAAATTGTATTTTTTTTCTTTTTAGAACTTTCAAAATTTTTATTAAAAGTTCTTTTGTTTTTTTTTGCATCAATAGGGTTTCCATAAATTAGTAAGGGGGATTTTAGCTTCTTTTGCAGTGAAAAACATATTGATTTGGAAATTCTTACAAAAATCAAATAATTGTCAGATTTTAATGAAACTTTCACAAAGGAATGAAATTATTTTAGAAATCTGTTTTTGAAGAGTTTTTTATGCTATTCGTTTCAATTCTTGTTGCAGTTGAAAGTCTAAAAATGATGTGTTTCTTGTTTGGTAAAGTTCTTCATTTCTGATTTTTAGCACCAATCTATAGGGCCTGATGAAGGCCCAAAGGATTTATTAACTTGAAGCCATTTTTAAACATTGATCTAAGAAAATGCTTGTATACAGATAATTTACACATTTCTGAAGGAGTCTGATAACATGCATAATATTTTCATAGGAGAGTCTAACATGATTCTTGAGCAGAAGAAATGCATCCATTTTCTTAATATATCAGAATATGCGTTCAAATTTTCATTAAGAGAATAACTCTTCAAAAGTTGTTCCAAATCTACAAACCTTTGTGTCATAACATCCAACAGCTTGTGGGTCTTCAGCAAGGTCACCTCTAGAACAAATTGCATTCCATGGATTCTTCTCTGAATATTTGTCATTTTTATAATCTAAAAATAAAAATAAAAACTTAAAAATAAGATTGAATAAAGGGTCTGACTGGACATTACAATTTCAATTTAATCTATTAGATTTTTTTTTAATCATATCCCCACCCACCTCCAAGCAAGGTAATTATGCTACTAAGATGTAAGAGGTTACAAGGAGTAAAAGAGAATCAAAAACTTTAGAGGGAAGCAGAAACCTAATCCTAAACAAGAAACAAAGAAAAAACCTCGACTCTTGTTAAAAAACTAGGGAAGGAGTGTGAACAGGGTGATAGGCAAAACATGGTATGCTGAAAAATGCTGACAAAGAAATAATTTATACAAATTCTGATATCTTTGTACATATGTCGTATATGCATAAATACATGAGGGTGTTTGAAAAGCTCTTAGCTGAACATGCTTCACAAGAATCTGAGCAAACATTAAAATTTGGTTAGATTAAGAACTTTTCAGAATTCAGCTTCCTCACTTACGCACCCTAACTACCTCTCTGGATATGCCTATCACTTTAAACATTATTTTTAGTGGATACCCATATTTGAGTAGATGCTCTGTTTATTTTAAACAGTATTTTAGTTTGTCTACAAACCTGAACATTCGAGAAATATTATTAAAGAAAATACACCCTCCAGCAGGATTTGAACCTGTGTCCTTCTTGTAACAAAAATCTGTTGGATTAATAAATAAAATCCATTATTTCTATGGAAATATATCTATCTATATGTTTTGTCTATTCAAGACTTGAGTGAAATTCTTGTTGGCATAAAGTTGCATTTAGATTACAATGAAACTGTCCAAATTTTACAGTAATTTTTGTTCTTGTACTTTTGATCATTGTTGTTTATGATAAGGAATACTTCTTTTCATACATTTTACAAAACAGAACAGATTTTATGGCTGATTTCTATGCTATCCTTTTTGAAGAAAGTTATAATTTTAATTTTAAAAGTATGTATTGCAAGTAAGTGACATCATGTATAAAACACTTTCATTTCACTTACATATTTGGTTCATGACATGTTAAAAATTCTATTTACTAATATTCCTGTCAAAGATACAACAGACATAATCATACTTATTATAAAACCCAGGTTAGCGTGTGTGTGTCTGTTCCTTTATATATTGGATCGGATTTCCTACATTTTTCAACTGATTTCAACAAAACTTCACAGGACTACATAAAATTACCCTGCAGTGGTTCTGACAGCGCCAAAAATTGGAAAAACACAATTTTTTTTGCACAAAATCAATTTCAAAACACGATTAAGAGGCATCACTGTCGCCAGAATGAAAGGAGGACAACTCATATTGAGTTATACTTATTATAAAACCCAGGTTGTTTGTGTGTGTGTGTGTGTGTGTGTGTGTGTGTGTGTGTGTGTGTGTGTGTGTGTGTGTGTGTTCCTTTATATATGGGATCAGATTTCCTACATTTTTCAACCGATTTCAACAAAACTTCACTTTTTTTTTTTTGGTGTTTCTTATTGTCTTGCACACTTTTTTCTTTATTTTTACATTCAGAATGCTTCAAAAAATTCCATTTACAAGACAATTGTTTATAATAAAATTCTATTCAATTGGTAGACTCATAACGATTGAAAACAATGTTTTTGTTTGAGTTTGGGTTTGACCAAAAAAAAAAAAAACTAATTAAGACATGCGTGTCCGTCAACATTAAACAATAATCTTTGTCAATTTTATTTTTCAGTCTTTAGTATGGTCGATACTTGATCTATCTCTTACTGTTACATCCCTGGGCAATGCCGGGCTCTACTGCTAGCACAAAATATATATAAATATTCTTTACTCTCACATCCTAATATTAAACCAACAATTCTACATAAACATCTTTTATTCTGTAGTAACATTTGTATACAGACTAATGGTTTAGCTATGGAATCATCTCTCATTCTTCCTATTATGGGATATGTCCTTTCAGAATATGAGCAATCATGGCTCTCCACAACTTCCAGTCTCTTATTACTCAAAACAAAGTTTGACTCTTTACCATAGACTATTTGTTCTGTCCTTGCCATCTATTCACCCAAACTATTTAAGGTAGTTAACTTGCTGTCTCCATCTGCCTCTCATTTTTAAAATTAAATTTTCTAAGATCTCTTTCCTCATAATGCCTCAGTAATTTCAACTGTCCCTTTTGGATTGTATTCTGTCTATGGCATTGTTATTCTCAGCATCCATCCTGTCACTTTGATTCTCTTCATCTGTAAGGAAATTATCCTGTATATGTTATCATATAGGGGAGTCGATATTACACAGCATTTCCATACTTTATCAAATTTCAACATGGCTCGCACAAAAAATCCAATATTTTTAATAATTTAAAAAAAAATTTATATTCCCTGTTACATTGATGAGATTGTAGATTGAATTTTAAAAAAAAACTGAAATTAAAAACTTTTCAGGAAAACCGTTTTGCACTTTATTAATTTATTGAATTCATTTTTTTTTAATCTTTAGTCTTTATTATTTGCAATACAACACAGAATTTTACTATTCACTATATCAGAAAAGCATAAGCAGAAAGTTTTATCTTAATTAATAAAGTGAATTACTTCAAAGATTCAAAATAGTCATTACAAAGAACACAACCATCCAAACTAAATTACTTTGGTCAATCCAATTCTTTATAAAATGAAAAAAGAAATAAATGCTTAATAAACTGGTTTGAAGAATTTTAGAAAAATAAAGCAAAAATCCTGGTGTAAACAAAAATAAAAACATCATTGATTTATTCTATTTTAATGAGAGAAAATCTGACAAAGTTGTTTATGAATTCTTCTGCCCTTTAAAAGATTGCATGCCTAACACTAATTAATAATTAATTAATATATATATATATATATATATATATATATATATATATATATATATATATATACATTAACACTAATTAATATATATACATTGAAGTATAGAAGCAATGTCACATGTATAACATTCAAAATTGTTTCTCAAAATCATGCGCACACAACATCAGTAAAAACATAACCCTCTTTGAATAGGAATAGTTCATTAGTGGGGTATGTACATTATATGATGCTGTCTAAAATACATTAGTGAGGTACATACATTATTCAGAGAGTCTCTGCCTTCTTCTTTAAAGTTAACAATTTTCCTAAACACCAAACAGTTTTTTATATTCTTTAAATTCATTCAACCTTATTAGGAACACCTCTTATATACACACCCCCATCTCCCATATACAAATGCATATTTATTTTCAATGCCTCTTGCTGGGTTTCTGTTGAAACAAAAATTTTCAAATTAAGTCAATTTATATCTAGAATTTTTTCCAAAATATAAATTAATTTCTCAATGAAAAAACTCACCATTGGATCGAAGCAGATTTTTCATGCTCTGCAAGTCATAAACTTTGTTAGCATCTCGCCTGAAGAGTTTTGCTCGAGCGGCCATCTGATATTGATTGGACTTGAACCCATAAACCTTATTGTAACCACTTTGATTATAGATTTCTTCAAAGAACGGTACATTATATGATGGCCAATAACCTGTAAAAACAAGAAATAACAGTTGTAAGAAATAATAAGTTTGTCAGCTACGTGTGGGTGGGGTGTACATCTTACATGTGGGTGGGGTGGACATCTTACATATGGGTGGGGTGGACATCTTACATAGATCTCCACCCTACCCAACCAAAATGACTGAAAAAGAATTATAAATTGTCTTTTTTTATGATGAAGTCAATGTTTACACCTTTTAGAATACCAATGTTTCCCAAATGTTCCCAACTGAAATAAGAAAGTCAATTAAACCTATACATTTAAATCCATTCCAGTAAATTCTAGCAGACAAATGGATAAACTTCTATTCCACTGATGCATTTTCAAAGTTTTTACAAAAAAAAAAACTTATCAGGTAAAACACACAATATGACACGAGGGAAACTCATTGTGGAGAAGAGATTTAACAAGTTTGTCTTAGTGGGTTCAATCCCTGTTACATGCATTAGAACATTTGCTACTTTCTGTCATAATAGTTGTACACACTGCACACACTAAATACACAATGACTATGACACATACAGCAACATAAGCTTAATAGTACAGTCAATCCAGATAACTAAAAATACTGTCTTTTTTCTCACAATCTGAATGATGGCTACAAAACATATATATATATATATATATATATATATATATATATATAAATATAAATATAAATAAAATGGTAATATTAGCCGTTTCCTTATAAGGAAACATTTGGCATTCATTGACTGAACACCCAGTGTTACCATCAGTTTAAATTCTTAAAATCTTTATATTACAACAATTATTGTTATTGCTCTTTCCAGTATTGATGGGGGTTTCCTTCCTAACCTTTTGTTTGAAGTAGTGTAGAATGTCAACATCTTGATTATGTCATTTTCTCTTAAAGTTATATCTGATATCAATTTAATTGCTGTTGTTGAAAGTCCTCAAATGATGTGGTTTCTGTTATTTGGTACAATTCTTTGTGATTTTGTAACACCATTCCACAAGGTTTGAAGAAAGATGCTCCTTGCTTTGACTCACATGCTTCATTTGCTGAAAGCCATTTTTGTCAATTGACATGAGAAGCTGTGTATATAAAGACATGTTGAGAAACACAAGGAGATATACTTAATGGCCCTTGTAAGAAATTTTCATACTTATTATTAGATGGACAATATTTATGAGAAAGTTCTATCAACAATCCTAATAAAAAAAAAAACAATGAATAATCAATGGGAGGCAGAACAGAGAGGCTATAGACTCTCACGTCTATTATACTGGCACTTGGTATGCAGCATTCAATAGAAATTCTGTTCATTGGTACCCAACCTTACTGAGTCAGTCTGCCAAAAGAGCTCAAGTGTTCAATTCTTATGTAGGGCTTTTTACAATCTTTACAATGGCTGACAACTAACAACATATTCAAAATGCTTTGTCAGATCAGGTTTTTCATTGTGTTCAAGATAGCTAATCATCAATGAAACAACTAATAATGGGGAGGAGAAGAGGGAGGGGGGGGGGGCTATTGAAGTCATTCATAAGATTTTTTATAGGAATATTTCACTAAAAATCAGAGTACATTCACCTTTAAAACTCCAACTACTTCCCTATTATTTGAACCTATGAAAATATTCTTTCTTTTTGTCTTTTTTTAAGAGCAGGTAGTAAATGAGTAGAACACTCCATCACTCGATCATCAACACCATGACTTTAAATCTTTTCAAAAAGGAGATCCCCCCCCCACCAAAAAAACAGTCTTTACTTTTGATACAAATAAACATTGAAATATCAACAAAAATCAATTTCTTGTTTATGGATTTTAAGTCTGAAGATGGGGGAGTGGTTGTACCTGTTCTCAGTATTTCTGATACATCTGCAGATTTGACAAGTCCAGGGATCTGTTCTACAACCCAAAGAGCATTGTCTTCAATATCCGAGTTCAACTTGATTTTGCGAAGGTCAAGAATCATGTATTGGTTGTTGTATGTTCCTGAAATAAACAAACAAACTGGTCAGTTATTAATAATCAGAAATCATGTCTTTATGAAAAAAAATATCTATCACTAGTGGGCCAGTCATCTTCAGATAATGTGTGTGCTCCCAAAGTGAAAACTTTCAATGTCCTTAAAGCAGTATTACACTAAGTATCCAATAGTCTTGCTAATATTAAAGGCTTGGTTCCAAGCAGACCTCATTATTATTTTATATATATATATGTGTATGTGTGTGTGTGTGTGTGTGTGTGTGTGTGTGAGAAAGAAAGAGAGAGATATAATATACTTTTAAGATATGCTATATCTATCAGAGATAGAGCATATGTAAGTATAAGAATGGACCTTCTAATTGGTCAATACACACAAGTGGGCGTTGCAATCCACCAATGTACAAATATTTTTCCAGTGCATGACCAAGTCAAGTTTCCCGCCAAATTTGCTGTGATCCTGTCACGTGATTAGATTAATTATAAATAGCAGACATGAGCTTGCTGCTTTGTCTTTTCTCTCTCTCTCTCTCTCTCTCTCTCTCTCTCTCTCTCTCTCTCTCTCTCTTCTAGCTACAAGATGTAGTCTTAAAAGGATTCTCATCTCAACCATGCGCAGTCAGACGTTAAAAGCATTTCCACGCATGCACGTACGTACAAAACTTTCCAAACTACATTACAAACAAACAGAACATTTCAAACAAGCAACAAGAATTTTTCTCTTTGAAATAATTTTCTAAAGCTACAGTTTATTCAACATTTCATAGCTTTATAATTCATTCAACTTTTGTGAGCTCAGATAAAAGAATTATTTGATTCAAAGGGACATAACACCAGCACAATAGTAAACTATGCATGTAGATCATGACACAAAAATAAATACAAATGTTTTTTGTTTTAAAACCATTTTGTTCCTTCTTGTGTTTCATATTTTGTGGTATTTCACATTAAATATAAATCATGTGGTCATGTTATTCACGCAGCCATAAGCAGACATCTACAAATAGACCATTCTTATTAACAGTACCACAACAATATCATGTTGAACATGAGGCATAATTATTACCATTTTGTCATGAGACTAATTAAAAATAAAAGGTTTACCTGAATTCTTGAAACCAAGGACTTGTGACCAATCTTTACCATTCCTTGCCATGGAATTGGCAATACGAACTCTGTGCCAGGCCAAAAGAGATTCTGGTTTAATCAAATGATACAAACTCATGTTAAAAATGTTGTTTGTGGTCTGAATCATCACCATTTTGCCACCAAGTAGATAAAAATCATCCAATGATGACATCAAACCTAAATAAACACAAAAAACATCATCCCATAAATAAAAACATTTTTTGATTTTGATGAAATAAAATGAAGTGAGCTAAAACAAATCAATTCAATCACCAACTCTGCTACTCTCATTCTATTCCCATCAAAGATGGGGATTCTTTGCATCTCTTCAGAGGATGTTAAATTTCTCCTTCTCTCAAATTACTCTAATCCCTTCAAGACATACACGTTAATTGCATTCTGTAGCTTAAAATGGTTTTAGAATAGCTGAATAGTAATTTGCATTTTCGGCTCAAATTGTAGTTTATGCTAAGTCATTTCTTTCAGATTTACCCAGGATGTCCTGAAATAGAGAATTTTACCGAAAATTTCCAAATGGTCAGCTCCCCGGCTTCAACATGTTAAAAAAATTTACTCACAACACTGTGTCATATAATATCAAGGTTTATATACACACTATAAAGTTTATTAAAACAAAATTGTTTCTACCTGGGTAACTTGAGAAAGCAATCTGTCTTGTAAATGTTCTTGGATCTTTGATGTTGAAGTCGTAGTATTTATAGATTCGAGACATGGAAGAATACCAAAACCAACTGCTGTGGGACATGAAAATGTTCTCATAACCAGGCAAGACCTGAAAAGTAGAGATCAGGATATTAGTCTGAGCAACAAGTAAAGTTATCAAAACAAAAACTGTCTAAAACCTTTTCAAACCAAAATGGAGAAGCTTTTTACTTTGAAAATGAATCCTCAGATTTCTGCACAATAAACTGACTATCAAACTGTAACTTAGAAAATAGCAAATGACGTCCCTGCTGGTGATCATAATTGACCAGTTAATTATTAGGATTTTTATAACAACAAAGCCGAGATCGGGAAAAATTAAGTAGGTACATAAGTTCATAATCTAGCAATGAAAGAAAAAGCGTTTATGTTCCACGACAAATATTTTTTAACATAATCTCTTCCTTGTCAATGCACTTAATTCAATGATGAATATTAAAGACCCAGAGAAAACATTATATAATAAAAATTTCAGATAAAAATTAAAGTAATTACTGTGTTATGCTGTAGACTTATTGAGCAAACTCATATGGGCACTAATTGATTGATTCTTTTTTGTACAGATTATCAACCCACTGTGGGTTATTTAGAGATGAAACATTTTGAATTGTAAGAATATTTTTACAAGTAAATATGGCATTAACAATTTTTTTTCTTTTTACTTTGTTTTTAAAGAATCTTTTTTTTTAATTTTCCAGATGCAAGTCCTACTATTTAACTCATACCTGGGGGGCAGGTGAAGAATTCCTTTGTACATAATATATATGGATAATAGAATGACAGAAAGGAAAATATTTTACATAACCCTTTTTGCTGTTTAGAAGGACTTCATAATGTTGTTACTGACAGAATTATTTATATACTGGGGAACAGGGGTGGGAGGAAACAATGCTGATGTAGAGAAGCTAAATTTTTAATTAAAAACTTTTTGGGTGGGGGTGTCTCCTGTGTCTAGATGCATACACTCAACCAATTTCATTTAGCTTTAAAGTTTTCCATTTTGTTTTTGATCTATACAAATTATATATGTGAGGAGTTCATGGACAAAGGAAGAAGAGACTCTGAGGCAAAATTCCATTGTTCTCATCCGATGGACAAACTGTTTTTGACAAAGGCATGCCAGGAATTTATCCTATTCTGAATATCTCTATGACTGGTTGTTTTGGTTTTGATGAACTTTGCAACCACTTAATGTACATGTGTGCACAGATACTCTCCCATGAGGTTACTCAGTTGACAATGAAACATCATTGATTAAGCTTGTGTACTGTGTGACCATTGCAATGATTCAATGAGTAAAATCTTCATATCTTGTACAGGTTCTTTTGCCATGACCCAGTTCATTCATCCCCCTCCCCACCATGTTCAAAAATTTGGTTCCCTGCAGCTACTGGCTTTTTACTGAAGCTAAAATTGTCACTGAAACACCCTAATTAAGAAGAATGAAAACAAGGCAGCTGACGGTAATCCCAAGAGGAAAATATGCAAACTATTTCAAAAAAATGGAAGGGAGACAAATGTATGAGATTGAAAGGGGAGTAAAGGGCTTCATCGTCCCAGGCAGAAATAGATAGATTTTAAGGTACAGTATTTACATTAGTTGGACTATTGTCCTCATCTTTGTCGCCATATTTGTCACAACGTTTCGCCGTTGTGCGCTCCGCCCTTCTTCAGGTGGTTGGAATTTGAACTGAACCCTTTATTTCCGATCGCTGGGGTAGACTTCTTCTAATTCCACGTGCCAGCGTACAACGGCGAAACGTTGTGACAAATATATACAAAGATGAGGACAATAATCCGACTAATGTAAATACTGTACATAATAACTCATCTCAGAAATATAGACAAACTCAGATTTTAAGGTGTCTTAAAAATCAGGGTCAGTGTATACAAATATAAGCCGTGTTGATATAGGTATCAACACTGGATGGTGGCAGTCTGTTTCATGCTTAACACTATTCAGTGCTTACTAACCACTGGTCTATAGTAAACATCCACAACACAAATGTAATTGGAATGACAAAGAAAGAATTGACCTTACCTTGATTAAAGCCGAGCAGTGACTATTAAGGAAGATATATCTGTTTAAATCAGTTTTGATTAATTCCATTGCTCTGGTTTTATTAAATGCATTTCTTAAATCAAGAATGTCTCCCATGCCATTTATCAACAGGAAACCAAAATCAGTAATTTCAGGCTGAAAAACAAAAAAAAAAAAAGAAAATGAAAAAGTAATTAGATAATTAATGGTTGTCTTCATTCCTAACCAATGATAATACTTTTCTTCCTAATTTGCAAGGCACAAATTCATATGAAAAATTGCAAGTGTTTAATTATTGTTTTTATTGCTATCCCCCAAAATAAATTGCTTGCAAGTGCTTCTAATTGAATCAAAAAAGTGGGGTAGAGATAAAGTGGGGGTAGAGATAAAGTGGGGGTAGAAATAAAGTGAGGTAGAGATAAAGTGGGGGTAGAAATAAAGTGAGGTAGAAAGTGGGGGTAGAGATGAAGGCAAAGATTTGTGTTTTTTTATCCTGGCTCAATAAGTAAAATGGATTCAAATGTCATCAGTATTAAAATGCAAATGTTTTTTGTCTTGTAAGGTTTAACAATTTATATAAATTATGATTTGGTAAAATGAACAAATTAGTCTTATTCCAATTCCAATGGAGACATTAGAACCAATTCTATAAATAAGTTTCAGATAAATAAAATCTCTTTTGATTGGAAACAATTATTAAGATACAATATCCTTTTAATTAATTAATAATTTACCAGAAAAACCTGTGAAAATTTCATGGTTTTCCTAATTAAATTTTCTGATGAGAGTTAATGATTGAATAAACTCATGGCAAGTTCTACAACAATAAAATATCCATAAAAGTTCCCCTATCACATTGTTAAATATTTGAGCTTCACAACTTTAACAAAATATTGCAATAACAATCCTGAATATGAATACTGGTTGTAATTTTAAGAAGTAAGAGGGTACAAATAAAAAGATTTTAAATTGACAACTTTTTGCATTTCACTGAAACAGATTTTAAATACTTTTCTTTCTTTCATTTTCTCACTGAAATCAAGTAGTGTCTTTTCTCCTCTGTGCACACATCAAAACTTACCATCATTATTTATGAGGTATCGGTAGGAAATGTTAAACACTTTTACTTTTATTTTCACTTATTTCTTACTTTATTTCTGGCCAAATCTCTGTTTTACAAACTTTCTCTTAATAATAATTTTAAAATAATTAAGTAGGCAGTGTTAATTTATTCAATTTATGGTAATTAGATTTTAGATGATTTCTTTAGTCACTTTCTGTCATTTGATACTGTGCATCTGAAAAATAGCACAATTATTGTGGTCGCCATGGATTCTCAGCTTTTTGGCTGAAATCAAAGTGTAGTATCTGTTCTTATCAGCTTAATCTCATTCATTCATTCTCTATCTCTCTAAAACCAAGTAATATCTTTTCCCCTGGTTCAAAACGTAAAATAGCCCATTATTTACCAGGAAATAACGGCTGTGCTAGCTAAAGAAGGGTGGACCAAATATATATATATATATATATATATATATATATATATATATATATATATATATATATATATATATATATATATTGTACATATTTGATTTAGGTTATTATCTTTCGAATTATACGAAAATTAAGTTCAAAGTAAAAACATTTAAATTATTTAAAATGCATTTTGTTTTCTTTTTGGTGAGGTTGTTAGTGTAAGAAGAGTAAGACTGTAAGTTAACTGTTAAGGTCCTAAGCGACCCCGTTTCCTTTTACGTGTTGTAAATGACAATGAAGTCAGTGAATAAAAACCGACTACACGTGTCCGAGTTATTGCAACACATCCACGCTTATAATCAAGATATGTAACACTTTTATTATATAGTTGTAGGAAGTTCGTTTTGGTATCTAATACAAAGTTTTACCAATCGAAAAATAAGTTATCAAGGGGAATAACTCTGTTTACAAAATAAGAAGTGGTTTCCCCTTTTCAATGTCACTTTTTTTTTTTTTCTTTTTTTCATATTTAAAATACCAGTAAAAAATACAATTTTTATTTTCTATTCAGGTATTATTTAGCTCCAGTTGTTTGCGATTGAATGTTGTTATTTTTATTTTACGCTGTTAATGTTTCACCAGAAAGAAAAGAGTACTCACAGCTGGAACTTGGCCAACTCTTGCTGCTGTGTGTAATTATTTTTTTTTAAATAAAGAAAGTGACAATAAGCTGTTCACAAACCCCTTTCTACTGACTTTTTTCTTTGCCCCTAATTTGCCAAATGCTTGTCACTCAAATACAACAATGATCTCAGACACAACTTTTATTCATTGTTTCTTTTCCTTTATACATGCTGCCCAGGATTACTAACAAGGTCACCAAAAACAACTTTTAATTGGCTTTTCTCTCCTGTAATTAAACTTTACTCACTCATTATCCAGCAACCAGGTAAAGATGGTTTACCACTGGTATTTAGTGGTGAATAAAGGCCCACCCGGCCTGGAATAATGGATAGTAGCTCAGATTGAGGAATCGGGGTTCAAATTCCAGTCTCGTCCAGTACATTTACTTACATTCAAATACCCTTTCCCTCACTAAATTTCATTGACTAAAATATAATAAGATATTTGAATCAATTTCTTAACAGGATAGGAAGAATTAAAAAATCTGAAAAAATATTCAGAAAATACTTTAGTTTTTCCTCTTAGTAATAATGTAAACATTTAGATGTTAAAAAATTGTTTTATGAATTTTTGAACCTTTTTTTTTATCAGGGTATACACATGTTTTTAATGTGCTAGTGGACATCCCTATTAGCTATTGGTAAATAGGACAGACTGAGTGACAACCAATCTAAGAAGGACAACTCTGAATTCAAATCACAATGTGTGTGTGTGTGTGTGTGTGTGTGTTATATTCCATGCTAAGGGAATAAACACATAACACCAGGTGGATACTAGAAGGTTTATTGTACACAACAAGTACAATATGAAATACAGTACAGTTATACACACAGGTCAATCTAGCAGTGCGTGCCACTAATTAGAAGGTCGGAACATGTTTGCATCGTCTCGTTCTCATGCACTTCTCTCTGTTGTAGACAGACTTTATAGGTACTTACTACCTATAGTGTAATCATTCATGGGGGTGATTGGTTATTCCATTGCATCAGTGTGTGAGAGAGAGTTCAGTCAATATAGTTTAAGGCCCATTTTCTTTACATTTATAATCAGAGTATTATATGATAATAAATACTAGTAGATAACAATGTTTGGGGAAACTATCCTCCAGATACTTCAACTTCCAATACAAAGCCTTGAAGATGTTTTAGTTGGGTTTTTGTTTTCTTTCATGGAGGAGGGGGGTAGGAATCTTAACTATCATCAAAAGCATATTTATCCCTTATTCTACAACAATCACTTCTATTTGTATTAGCTTACTCTGGCTCAAGGCCAAAAAACTGAGCATATTTAAGAATTCATTCCTATAGAAATGGTGTGTTGGACTGGCTTGATAATCATTTCTGCAAGCAGGAAACCAATTATTTTAAAAATAACAGACACAGGTACACAGGTACACAGGTATGTTAATGAAAGAATTGGTGGACCAGTCACAAGATCAGAAATTGATTTTAATTCTGATCCTAAAGAAATATTAACATGATACAAAAAATATCTGCTAATAATTCCAATTGTTTGTCACGTAAGTCTGCTCAGACATTTTGTTGAACCTCTATATTAAAATTTATATTTAAAAACAAATTGGATTTAGAAAGTAATGCTTATTGAAGGTCACATGAACTTATTGATATAAAAAAAAGTTGTTTCTTTGTTTTTTTATTTTAAAAAGTGTAGGTTGGAGTAATTAAACTTTTGAAATTACAGAAGTAAATAACTGAAATGATTTTAAAATATTTTTTTACCAGACAAGTTTTCAGCTAAAAATCAAGAAGGAATTCCAAAATGACTTCTCACATTTGGTCAAACTAATATTTTTCAATACTCCCTGCCAACAATGCAAACTGTAGATAAGTCAATCAATCAGTCAAGGGCTATACACATTTGGACAATCATGTGTCCTTCAATTCATGACTGACGAGGCAGAAGATTTTCCTGAAGTAAGCAGATTTTTTTTTCTGTGGTAGACTGGTTGCCAACCAAGTCTATAGGACACTGTCTGTTCTGGTATTCAACCCATATCTAAGGAGAGGAGATAAAGACAGTCATGTTCCATATGTGATAGACGCTTGGTTGATCATGTCTCTTTTGATTCAGGACTGACCAGGCATGAGATGCCATTTCTTTCTGTGATAGACTGGTTGCCAACCAAGTCTATAGGACCCTGTCTGCCCTGCTTATTCAACCCATATCTGAAGAGAGGAGATAAAGACCGTCATGTTCCATATGTGATAGACGCTTGGTTGATCATGTCTCTTTTGATTCAGGACTGACCAGGCATAAGATGCCATTTCTTTCTGTGGTTGACTGGTTGCCAACCAAGTCTATAGGACCCTGTCTGCCCTGCTTATTCAACCCATATCTGAAGAGAGGAGATAAAGACAGTCATGTTCCATATGTGATAGACGCTTGGTTGATCATGTCTCTTTTGATTCAGGACTGACCAGGCATAAGATGGCATTTCTTTTTCTGTGGTTGACTGGTTGCCAACCAAGTCTATAGGACCCTGTCTGCCCTGCTTATTCAACCCATATCTGAAGAGGGAGATAAAGACCGTCATGTTCCATATGTGATAGACGCTTGGTTGATCATGTCTCTTTTGATTCAGGACTGACCAGGCATAAGATGCCATTTCTTTCTGTGGTTGACTGGTTTGCCAACCAAGTCTATAGGACCCTGTCTGCCCTGCTTATTCAACCCATATCTGAAGAGAGGAGATAAAGACAGTCATGTTCCATATGTGATAGACGCTTGGTTGATCATGTCTCTTTTGATTCAGGACTGACCAGGCATAAGATGCCATTTCTTTCTGTGGTTGACTGGTTGCCAACCAAGTCTATAGGACCCTGTCTGCCCTGCTTATTCAACCCATATCTGAAGAGAGGAGATAAAACCGTCATGTTCCATATGTGATAGACGCTTGATTGATCATGTCTCTTTTGATTCAGGACTGACCAGGCATAAGATGCCATTTCTTTCTGTGGTTGACTGGTTGCCAA